TGTGTGTGTGTGTGTCTCTGAGTGTCGCTGCTGCTCGTCGCTCCCACGTGTGCAGGGAGCAGACGTGTGAGATAAACGGCCAGCGGTCAATAACTTGAACGTCCTGCTGATCGTCTGCTGCTGCTGTGGGTAAACACTGATAATACGACGTCCTCCCACCCTGTCCTCTGGCTTTTCCCGTTCTTCTGTTTTCTCATTCCCGCTCATCCTCTTCAGATTCATCTTCGTCCTCCTGGTTTCTCTCACAGCAGCGGGAATCTTTCTGTCACTGCTTAAACACCACATATGTTCGTGTTTTCCTCTCACGGCTGAGTGGATGATGGTTGCTGGTGTTTCTCCACAGGAGCAGCTAAAGTACCAGTTTGTTTCCTGTCGTATATCAGGTCCAAACATGGCCACAGTCTCTAACACTGAGCTCGTGTATGTGAAGTGATCCCAGAGAGCTGAAAGCTGGCATCCAAACACTCCGGTCATCACAGTTTTCTGGCTGCTGCTTGGAAATATGGCTTATAACAGCTAGTGGGCGGGGCTTAGGATATCTGCTCTGTTTGACATCATAAAGATCGCAGAGCAGAAAGAAGTGTAAGTCTGAGGCTCACAGGGATGAGGTGGTTCAACGCTGACCTCGTTAACTGAAGCTTTCATCATATTTTCTGTGAACATCATGGGAGGGGAAAGCCGTTCACTTTAATCACCCGTCCTGCAGCCTTTGTGACTCTCTGTCAGTAACAGAACTTCTGCAAACTGTATTTTTTAACCCTTGAATAAACCATACGACATCGTGCCAACACAGTTGTTACTGTCGGAGTCATTTAATCAAACGCAGGCAGAGAGTCAGGCTGTGCTGTCACGTCAGCCCCGCCTCCCCGCCTGATTATAAACCTCTCAGAGATCCAAAGTGGAAACTGATGAAATCCCAAATAAATGCAGAGAGTCAGAGTCAACAAACAACGCAGCACTTTTGCTCCATCCATCATGTTGTTTGAAAAGTCTTCGAGGTTCAGCGACCGGCTCCAATAACAAGCTGACTGAAAGCAACGAGAGGTTTCGTGTTTCCAGAAGCTCGTTGGGCTGCTAATGCAGCACAGATGCAGCTCCACCATCAACGCTTTGAACCAGCAGGGAAACAAGAGGGTGGATGTGACGACCTCGGGCTGTTTTCCTCTGACCGACTAATCCAGCTGATGCTGCTGGAAGTTTCTGCCTGGATTTCTCCGGCTCAGGCTTAAAGGCTTCAGGTGTTGTAGGAACCTGAACAAACATCCGTCAATCCTCCGCCCCCTCATCTTCCTTCCTGTGGATCATCTCAAACCTCTCCGCCGGCCACTGGAGCAGCAGATCAACAGCAGACTGGGCTGAAGCTGCTATTCAGCAGAGTCCTCGAGCCTCTGATGCAAACACAGCTCCAAACCGCGATCTGAGCATCAGTGACCAGCAGTGACTCCACCGCACGCACGTTTATCGCTATAGCTACAGCTCTACAGTCTTTGATGGTGGAGCTGCTCCAGCATGAACCCTTCTTGCTGATTATTTCATATCTTGATACACAAAACATCCGCATGTGTTTGTGAAATGAATGATAACAGATAAAGAGCAGTTCAGGATCTAGACAGAACCTCTGCACCTCCACCCGACGTGGATACTTCATCAGCACCACATTACGCTCTGTGTGATTATTGTGCTTTGCTGCAAACTCAGTGAGGGTTTAGTTTTTCAGGTGCAGCCTAACCCGGGACACGCTCACCGGCGACGCTGTTCGTCCTCAGCGTGTCACTTCCTGATTAAATAAAAAGTGTTGTGATGAATGAAGGAAACTTGGCATGAAGATGTCCTGATGCTGCCGGGTATCAGCAGCACGTGTCTCTGGATTATAATGAAGGATTAGAGAGTTATGCTGAGATGAGCTGCAATAAAGGATCATTAGAGATCCTGAGGAGATAACTCAGCTTTATTGCAGCCGCCCGGTCACTGCAGCGCAGGATTCAACAGTGTGGACGGTTTGTGTCCGAGCAGCATCCTGGGACAGCAGAGATAAAAATACACTCTTGGGAAACTCGTTAGTCTCAGAGGCATTCGGTCTGGA